CCGATCCCAGATGTTGCGATCCATGCCTTTCGTAGAAGAACGGCATAGGACCCTTGCAGGGAAGCTATATAGGGATTCGCTGTCTTACAGTTCTGGTAGCTGCGATTGCTACCACAACCATAACCTCAATCTTCCAGTACTTGTTTCTACATGTCTGGTATCGGTTACCGTATATTTGTAACCAATGCCATAGCCACGCTTGGCGGCTATTATTTTGCAGTGACCATGCCCATACATATAAGCACAGGTTAAGCGCATCGGCGACAGGAAATGTACATCATGGGAGGGGAAAAGGGGTAGTTCCAGCAACGTGAGACTCCCAACATGTTAATAGTATTGGAACTGCTATCTTATTCCTCCCGCGTTCTAGACAGTAGCAACAATTGAATGACCCTGGCGAGTCCATAGTCAGGGCCTTCTTTCTACCAAGGTAGCTGGAAGCAGTTCTGAGCAATGCGAAGCATTGCAATGCAAGTAACTGCTTGACACTGCTTGGTATTGATTGGCGTGTATTGGCAGTGCTTGAAGTCGCTTCTCGGTATTGCTAGGCATTGCTCAGATTGCTTGGCACTGCTTGGCATCTGGTGGCGTTGCTTGCTATTGTTTGGCATCGCTTGGAATGTCTGGTCGTTGCTTGTCGTTGTCTGGCGTTGCTGGGCATTGCTGGGCATTACCTGGCCCCGTGCAATCCCAGCAACCTCGGGCAATCCCGAACAACGCTAGGGGCCGCCTGGGCAACCTCGGGGAACGCCAGTGGCGAATGACCCAGCACCCGCCAGTTCCTTCTCCGCAAACGCGTAAGAATGCCTTAGGCAAAATTTGGGTGGGGAATAACCGGACTTGCGAGCGAGACGCTGGTGGCAGCATTGTCTTTTCAGAGGTACCCCCTGAAAATGCGGGGCCCCAGAGGCGACCCCGCCCCGAGGTGACCGACTATTTACGAACCCCATCCAGGGTCCAGGATGAGATGAGATCAATTTGCAGCGGCAGCCGACCAGAAGTTAGCAACATACTGGCGAAGCTACACTACAGCAGCCACCCTGAAGGGATGTAGGGAAGAGGGGGACTCTGGGTGGGAAGAGGAGGGCGGGTGAGAAGAAGGGGGAAGCGAGGAGGACGAGGAGGAGGGAGGAGGAAGGTGGAGGAGGAGGAGAGGGAGGATGAGGAGGAGGATGATCAGAGTAAGCCCAAGTTGTACCAACGATGGTGCAGTCCACCCTCCCTTCCCAAGCCCCCTCCTCTTAAGTCCGTTTCCACAGCTCGAGGCGTCCCATTGAAATGTTGGACTCCATGGGCCAGCAATTCAGGCGGGAATTATTTCTTGACAAGAGGACTTGCCCTTCGTCTTTCGAGCTATGAGAACTGCGGCAATGTGGGGACATGGCAATAGCTCCGCTTTGAGAAGGCACCGCCCTCCACCCATCGAATTGCTACACAGTTCCCCAGAAGTCTCAGGCGAGAGCTCCATTCGGAAGAGGAGCCGCCTTTGACCCGTGCAGCTGCTTCATGATCTCATTTGACTCCGAGTATTCTTTGTCAGAGAACGGCTCAGGCGAGAGACTCCATCGTTGCATCTGTTGGGTGTTTACAACGAGGGTGTGCGGCGTCAGGGCGATAACCCAATTTGCATCGGTGCAACTGGTGGAAAGGATTAAGAATAATGTGCTCGGCGCCAAGGCGAGTGCCCCATTTTGAAAGGGTACCGCCTTTGTCAGTGCAGCTCTTGGTTCTCTTCAAGACGACCACGCGCTGCGCCCTTGGATATCGGCACGCCCTCCATCCGGGTGACTGGTGGAAACTTCCAGCTCCAATGCCGTAAACAGTAAACGGTGAGGAAGTCTCATGCAATACGCCTGGCCAGCCCGAAAGGCACGTCTGGTGGTGTGGCAAGGAGAAGTTCAGGAATTACGTATAAAGAAAAAGGCTGGAGGAAAAGGAGGAGGACGAGGTGAACGTGGCCCAGGCTGGGGAGGAGCGGCGGTGCGACAGACCGAAGCGCCCCTACAGGTGGGAAAGAAGAAGGCCGAAGGCCTCAGGTCGTCCGACATAAATCCGCCCAGAACCGGTACCCCGACGCCCCGGGACGCGTCAGAGACATCATCGTCGATGTCATCGTCGTTGTCGTCGCAGTCGCAGTCGCAGTCGCAGTCGGAGTCGGAGGCGCCCGCCCGCCCGCCCTCAAAGCCACCGTCGCTCGTCGCGCCATTCGCATGTCCGGGCCTGAATGGTGACCTGAACCCTCCTCTTCCATCTCCTCCTGCCCCTCCTTTTCCTCATCCTTTTCCTCATCCTTTTCCTCATCCTTTTCCTCCTCCTTTTCCTCCTCCTCCTCCTCCTCCTCCTTCTCCTCCTCCTCTCTCGTAGTCGTTGGTTTCATCTTCGGTGGCGTTCTCCACGCTGCAGACGGTAGGGCTGGCGTTCCACGTTTAGTGCCGCATGGCTCGTCGCGCTGGTGGGCGGCGGCTGGGACGTTGTCGTCGCAGCAGCCGTCGCTCGCCCTCGCCGCCGCTAGCCTCCGCTCGTGCCGCCTTCGCCGCTGTCGACGGCCGCCACAGCGGCGGGCGACAACGCGGCCGCGCCGTCGCCGTCGCCATCGTCCTCGCCGTCGTCCTCGCCGTCGCCGCCGCCGCCGCCGCCGTCGTCGTCGCCGTCGCCGTCGCCGTCGTCGTCGTCGTCGTCGTCGTCGCCGTCGTCACCGTCGCTGTCGCCGTAGCAATGGTCGCCGCCGCCGCCGCCGCGGCGCCCTGGCGCTGCCATTGTCGCCGTCCGTCGTCGCCGCCGTTCGTCGTCGCTGTCGCCGTCGGGGCCACGGCGTGCGGCGCCCAGGCCGTCGCTGGCGTTGTCGTCGCCGTCGGCGCGGGTCGTTGCCGCCGTCGGACGGCCGCTGGCTAACGGCGCCCCAGGCGCTGCCTACCGGCCAGGCCGTACGGCGTGTGGGACGCGGCGCCCGGGACTGCGCAGCAGCCGGGGGGGTCCAGGCTCGGCGGCCCGCGCCGCCGCCAGCGTCCTCGTTGTCGTCGCCGTCGCCATGGTCGCGCGCCTTCTGCGGGCTCTCGGCGGGCTCTCGGCGGGCGCTTTCGGCAGGCCCTCGGCGGCAGCGGGGGGAGTCCAGACTCGGCTGCCTGCACCGCTGCCGTCGCCGATGCCGTCGTGTGTCCCCGCGAAGCAAGAGGCTGCTACGTCGGGCCTCCCACATAACCCCGCCGTCGCGCGCGCGCACTCCGCCATGCGTCTGCACCCAGCACAGATCGCCGCGCATCCGATGTTGCCTTGTATCCGTCGTTTTTTTTTCCGCCAGTGTTTTCTCTCCTACGCCTCTTTGTCGCCCGTACCATCATCAGCAACAACAGCACCAGCATCATCGCCATCGTCATCGTCATCGTTCTGTTTAGTTTCATCCTTCTCCCCCTCCTCTCCAACATCGACTTGCTGCCCTCCACTGGTTCGAGTTCTGACAAGGATGTCAGGGCGAATCTGGCCATGGCACCCGGACGGCTTCAAAGAGAGAGAAATATGCTTCAACATCTCCCTCATGTTCCTTGTCGAAGAAGAAGAAGAAGAAACACACACACACACATCACACTGCAGAACGATAAGCTCTCAAAGTTTCGCGCGGATCTTTCGGATCGGCGCTGGACCCTGGCGTCAGCAGGTGCATGGCTCCCCGCGGGGGCAGCGTCGGCGCTCACCCCAGGACGATCCGCCTCCCCGGGCCTCTGGACCGCCCAAAACCATTCAGGATGGCAAGTTGGTCCCTGGGGGAAGCTCGTGTGTCTAGGACTCGTTTCTCTCAGGACACTCTTTCCTTCATGCCGCGTGCAGGTGAGCTGCACGAGTACGCACTGGACCTTCCGAAGGCCTCTTCGATCCTCGTCCTCCTCTCATGCCATCATCTTCCCTTCCCCCCTTCCTCCCTCTCCCCCATCGCTCTTCCGTGTGGGTGGTTCCTCGCCGCGCCACCAGACGCGTCGGGAGGGGGGGCCCAGCGTTTCGCTCGAAAATTCCCCATCGCTCATGATCCTGAGGCAGGGACCAAAAGTTACACTGATTGAGGACGGATGAATTTCAAAATGTGGCCCTTGGCCTAGCGCCGCGCACGCTCGTCTCGAAATGTTCCAGCAGCTTCACGGACGGGGGGAGGGTGATATTCAACATTTAGCGTTCGCCTTCGCGCCGCCCATACTCGCAATTCATTCTTCCAACAGCTCGACGGATGGATGACGGATGGAGCGCTCGCCATCGCGCCGCGCACATTTGTGTTGAAATTTACCCACAGTTACACGGACGGAGGGTGGTTTATTGTCAATGTGAGGTTCTCGCCTTCGCGCAGCGCGCATTCTGTGGGACCGCGTGGGACCGCCCTGGGCTTCGTGAACGAATGTTTAGCTTTTTCCAGAAGCAGCACGACTGTTTCGCGGCTCCTTATCCAAAACGGAATTACCGTTCCAGGTGCTTTCGTTAAAGGAACAGAATTGCTAACGAGTGCAATAGGTAAACGGGTGGAAGGGCGATTCATTTTCAACACGGTTATCTGGTTCAACATGTCTGTGAATTTGAAGACGTGTATGCCACATGTTCCAGCTAGGGGAATACAGGGCTGTTCTGTTTCAAGACGGGGCGCTCGCTTTTGTGGCAAGAGCATGGGGCGCCCGTCTTTCGTAGGGGCGCTCCCAGCACTGGAAAAGGAGTGCTGGCAGGGATCTATGGGCTGGGGACTTGTGAGGGGAGGGCACGTTGAAACATCGCTGGCGCGTCATGGGTTTGCTCTGGTCCTCCTCCTCCTCCTCCTCCTCCTCCTCCCTTCGCTGCCGCAGACCCCCCGGCAGGCAGCGTAGCAGCTGCATCTCTCTAGGAGCTGGCAAGCATAATGTGATGTTAGATACGATGTCTCCCTTTGACGCAGATGGTTCGGTCGAGTTTGCATGAACGGAATGGGCGAGAGCGATCGAGCCTCCGCCGCCGTTTTGTCTCAGGCCCACTTCTGGGGCCTCCGCCCTTGCCCCCCCCCCTCCCTCCCCGAATCGCCGCTCGAGCGAGCGAGGGCGGTCGTCTCTCACCAGGCCTCCGACGGATTAGTTCTTGTTCAGCCTGCCATCTTCGGCGCGCCGAGGGGGGAAGTGAGAGGGGGGCCAGGCCTGCTCAGGCGGCTGTGGGGCTTCGGAGAATGCTCGGAAGCCTCCTCAGAAGATCGGAGGCCTTCTGGGCCGTCTGGGAAGGCCCGATCCCTCTGCATTCCCCCTGGGCGTGCTGCCGATGCGGGCCCCAGAGGCCTGCACCAGGGCCGAGCAGCGACGCTTCCTCGGGGCCGGGCCTGCCCCGCTTCGGTTTTGGGAATGGTTTCTGGGGTTCCGGAGGGCTCCCAGAGGCCGAGGTTTGGAAGCAAGCGCCGCGGTCAGAAACTGAACGAGTCCGGTGGAGGTCTGGGCCCCAGCGCATGGCAGCCTAGCCGCGGCCTGGCCTCCAGCGCTTGCTGCGACGAGCCGCCCGCGGCGGGTCTCTGGGGCTGCCCGCCGCGGCCGCCCGCGGCGATGAAGCGCTCGTCCTCCGCGGCGGCCAGGGGAGGGAAGAGAAGTAACTAGGCCTCGGGTATCTTTCTAGGGGGCGGATAAGGGGGGGGAGGAGGACAAGGTGAGGGAGGAGGAGGAGGATGATCCAAGATTTTGGACGCCCTTGGCTCCGATCGGGCATCCGTCGCTGATCGGCGCACGAGCAGGGCTGGGCAGGGGGCATGGATCGGAAGCCGAAGTCGGGTGTCTCAAATCGACTGATCGAGGAGCAGGAAGAGATAATACCGATGATCGTGGTGTTCGGACGCTTCTGTTTTCGTGCTTGGGGCCTCTAGAGATGGGATCATATCCCACCTCTGGACGCCTCAATGGAGGAGGAGGAGGATCAGGAAGAGGAGGAGAAAGTAGAGGAGGAGGAGGAGGAGGAGGAGGAGGAGGAGGAGGAGGGATCGCCTGTGTTGGGAGCACTGTGTTGGGAGCATGCTAGCTGCCTGTGTTGGGAGCACTTGCACCAAAAGGGAGACACGCGGAATATTGCTCGTTGGACTCAGTTGATGAGGACACCTGTTGTAAATGAGCGCGCATCAATGCGCCAGAGGTGGTGGATGCGTACATCAGTCCTGGGCTCACGGCCTTCCTCGCGGTTGCGGGAACATGGTGTGCGCTGGCGCCCACGCCGATCTTGGCGAGGCCCCTCGTGGGGCCAGCCAGGGTCGTCATGTAAACCCTCTCGGCCAACCCAGACCCTCGACATCGAGATTTGTGTGATCCCCACAGGTCTGGACTGGTTCTCCGGGGACTGGCTTCTCATCCTCTGCCGTTTTCTTTGGCGGCCCCGTGGCCTGGCAAGGGGCTCCCAGAGGCCCAGAATGCTCAACAACACCTTCCGTCATATTGTTGTTTCACGACGCGATGGGGTTTGGCCTCGGAAGCAAGGGGGGCTTGTATACACAGGTCCTGGGGCCAGGATCGGGCCGGCCAGGATCGATCCATGGTGCAGCAAGCAGGTGCGCGCGCATGCGCCCCGCGCCCTCCCAGGCGGGACCCCGGCGGCCGCCTGCCTCCGCGCCCTCCAAGGATCGCTGTAGCTTCAAATTGTCCTCAAGGTCCAGGATCGAGGATCGGGTTGTTTGATGTGGTTTTTGTTCGGCCCTCCAGTGGCCTGCAGAGGCGGCGGCACGCAAGAGGCGAAAGCACAAGCGCAGGCAGCTGTGAGGCGCCGCGGCAAGTTCCAAGGATGGGGGGCACTCTTGTGGGTGCCTTTCAATCGCCCGTGCCAAGTCTTCGAAGTCATATCTCCATCCCGGTGCCGTTTGATCCGCATAGGTGGCAGTTTCATCTTGGCATCCAAGTGGTGCAAACGTTTCTCCTTCGACCATCTCTGGAGACCTCCTGACTTAACTGTGTATTATGTTTGATTCCGCAGGGTTCGGCATCGTAGGGCCCTTCTGGTTTCCTTGGATTTTGTACCGTGAAAATAACAGACGACGAAGGTTGAAGAGCCGGCCCTGAGGGAAGTCCCGGGGTCCAGGACTTCCCTCAGGCCCTCTCGTCTCCTGATTCTAAAAGGAGGGGGTCCGCCGCGACAGCGAGCTCCAGACGGACACCCCGCTGGCGAATCCCGTCTTCTTCTCCGACGTCCCCAGCTTCCTGCAGCGCCAGAGGGTGCGGGCTGCTCGACGACGGCGACGGCGGCGACACCGTAGACGGTGACGACGACAGAGGCGACCACGACGACTACGCCGACGACAGTGAGGAAAACGATGGCGACGACGACGAAGGCGACCGCCTCGGCGACGGCGACGACGCCGACCACGACCATGACGACCACGCTGACGACGACGACGACGACGACGACGACGACGACGACGACGACGACGACGACGACGACGACGACGACGACGACGACGACGACGGGACGACCGCGACGACGCCGACGGCGACGACGGCGACGACGACGCCGATGATCATTTCGAAGGCGCGCGCCGCGCGGGCGCTCGCCAGCGAGCACACGTTCACCGTGACGTGCCCGTGCCCGAAGTGCGACGCGGAGGCGCGCAGGAGGGCCGACGAGCAGCCCTGGCGCTCCTGGCGCGCCACGCAGCAGCAGAAGGCCCCCAGGGGGCGGCCCTCAATGACTCTCGGCGGCGGCCCGCGCGCTGCGAGGCCTCAGGAGGCCTCCCGGGCCACCCGCGGCCATCAGATCAGGCCTCGAGGCCAGAGCCTGGAGGAGAAAGGGTCGGTGGCGGAGGCCACCGGGGGCCTCCCCGCTGTCTGCGGGCACCAGGCTGTCATTGTCGTCGTCGTGATTGCCGCCGCCCGTCGTCGCCGTCGTCGTCGCCCCCCTCCTCGTGGTCGTCGCAGGCGTCCGCGCATGCGACCACCTCGGTGGCCTCCATGGCCTCGGAGCGCACCGGGGACCAGCGAGTCGGATGCGGGGCGGAGCGAGACTTCGTCTGGCTGCTGCGGGTGGTGCAGGACCGCACCGCCCGCGGCGGCCCCCCGGCTCCTGCGGCGGTCCTCGGCAGCATGAAGCGGTTCTCGGCGGCATACGGCATGGCGTCGTCGTCGAGCTTCGAGGGAGGAGGAGGGAGAATGGCGGAGGAGGAGGAGGAATAGGAGGAGGAGGAGGAGAAGGAGGAGGAGGAGGAGGAGAAGGCTGGAGGAGTGAGGAGGCGAAGAGGCGAAGAGCGAAGAAGTGGTGAGTTCCGATGCCTCCGACGTCGTGGTTTCTTGAATACGGGATTCCCAGACTTCCCAGAGAGGGCTAGGTCTATGAGAAGTTGGAGGGAGAGGGGAAGATGGGAATAGGAGGAGGATGTCGTCGTGGTCGTCGTGGTCGTCGTCGTCGTCGTCGTCGTCGTCGTCGTCGTCGTCGTCGTCGTCGTCCGGCGTCGTGTGTGGCCCTCCCTGCAGGACGTGTGTGGGACTCCTCGTGCGGGCGCGCCCACGTCTGGCCCCCCGGAGGGCACCCCACCAGACCGAAGGCATTGGAGCGACGTGTTCGGCACGGGCGCGGCGAAGGCGTTCCAGCCGTCGGCGCCCTCGACCCACTGGCTGAAGCGCGAGCTGGGGGTGAAGATCCCCGAGACCGTGATTCTGGAGATCGCATGGGCGAAAAGAAGGGGCCAGCCGATCAGGGCTTGACCTAAGCAGTGCTGTCGTTTTTTCCTGGGCAGTTGTTGTTTTGATGTAGCTTTCCAGCAAAGGCTGAACGATGGGAGCCCGGAAGCAGCACGACAACGAAAGGCACTGCTTAGGGCGAGCACTGCAGCTGGCTACGCGGACACTGGCGCGTAAACTGCCCACGCGAGACCGCGCGCAAGCGCCCCTCTCTCGCCCGCGGTGTGCCGCGGTAGTCGCCTGCGTGAGCCACCGCGTAAGGTCGCGGCGCGTACGACCCCATTGCCCTTCGTCGCTCATGACAGACGTGCCCCCTGAGGAGGCCCTCCTCGAGGATCGATGTTCGAGGTTGGAGGAGAAGGCGGAGGGGGATGAGGAAGAGGGGGATGATGGGGAGGCGTAGGAGGAGGTGGAGGAGGATGCCTTTCTCGAAGATCGAGGTTCGAGTTCCGCCCTCCCGCGTGCGTTCCCTTCACGGAGGTCTCCGGTGGCTGCCGGGACCACGAGGAGGCCACCCGAAGCCCCAAACAGTGCCGAGAGTTAGAGAACAGCAACGCGATCGAACACCCCAAAAACGCCCGAGGAGAAGGGCAAGCCGAAGAGGCGCTACCACATGGACTCCGAGGGGCTCCTGCAGGCGGCGTCTATGAAGACGATGGTGGAGGAGTAGAAGGATGGAGGAGACGACGCCGCCGCCGCCGCATCCGCCGCCGCCGCCGCCGCCGCCGCCGACGACGACGACGACGACGACGACGACGACGTCAAAGTCTGGTCAAATCGGTCCCCAGACCCCTCTTGGTTGGGCGATCCCGGCAGGTTTTCTTTTCTGTATCGGTTTCCTATGGCCCAGGGGCCGGAAACGGGCCCCGGGAAAGCCGAAATCCAGGAAAGGCCTCGGGCGGGATTTTGTGTTCGAGCCTCGGTGACGGCGGTGACGACGACGGCGACGAGCGGCTAGCTGCAACTTGAGATCCAGCGCTCCGACTTTGTCGATGCTTGGGCCCCCAGACTTCTTTCCCGCATGGCCAGCATTTCCTCCCCAGTCGTTCGCGAACAAGCTGCCAATGCCCGTTCTCCCTTGCCTCGCTTATGTTCTTCCTCCTCGTCCCTCCGTCCTCCTGCTCCTCTTCCCCCTGCTCCTCCTCATGCCGTTGCCATACACGGCTGCACAGATTCTGCCCGTGCTTGCAGGTCTGTTCGCAGAGATGCCATGTTGTAGCGCTGACCGCCCCCCCCCCCTCCCCTCCAAAATTGAGCGATCTGTTGCCGGGCCGCCGCACCTGCGGGAGGGGCTCCCTACAGGCGGCCTCCATGAAGACGTCGGCGGAGCTCCTGCGCGTGCTTCGCGACTTCGTGCGCAGGGCCGGGCGGCCCCGTCTGCCCGCCGCGGGTGGTGCGGAGCCTCTTGCGAAGGGCGTCGTCGTCGTCGTCGTCGTCGTCGTCGTCGTCGTCGTCGTCGTCGTCCGTCGTCGTCGTCGTCGTCGTCGTCGTCGTCGTCGTCGTCGTCGTTTAGGTGCAAATGGTTTCGAAAATGTCGGCCCCTGGGTCCGTTTCTGGCCTCACCCAGGGCCGTCAGAAATGGAGCCGTGAGGAAAACACTTGCCAGGATGGACCCTGGGCTCCAGAGCCCCCCTGCCTGAACAGACAAACGTGCCACTATTGCGCGCACATCCCCCGAGGGGTCCTGGACCTCGGGGGCTCACTGAGACCTGGCAGCAATGCTTTCTTGCCAGCGGCAGTGGGCACGGTCCAGGACGACTGGGCGACGTGTGGGGCACGCTCTCGCGAGTGAAGCTCACGAGGGAGGGAGGGAGGGAGGGAGGCCTGAGGGAGGGGTCCTGGACCTTGAAGCCTCCTAGAGAGAAGGGGGTCTTGAGGCAGGGAGCCCTGGGACCTCGCTGCTTCCCCGAGGGAAGGGGCCCCGAGAGAAGGAGGTCATGGACCTCGCTGCTTCCCCGAGGGAAGTCGTCCCGAGGTGGGATGGGGCCCCGGGGGAAGGAGCCCCCGGAGCGTGGAGGACGACGGTGGTCCTGACGACGATGCGCAGTGTGCGCCTGGCCGCCATGTCGGGGATGCCGTGGTCGGCGCTCTCCGGGAGTGCTTTCGGCCAGCCTCAGGGCTCCCGAGGGCCCCGTGCTCCCGTGCTCCCCCCCCCCTGGTTGTTTTCCACTGTTTGTGTGTTTGGATGTGAGCTCAGACGGTTTCTGAGTATGTCAATTGTCATTGCTGTTGTGTTTCAGGGGCTCATTGGTTTGTACTTGTTTCTTGTGCTGACACACGTTTCTGTTACTTGGTTTTTGATGTGTTGCCAGTGCTAGCATGGGTATTCATGTGTTGTTGTTGTGGTTGTTGTTGATTTCCATATGTGTTCATTGGTCTTCAATGTTTTGTTTGTTGTTTTGCCGTAGTTGTTATTGTTGTCCTTGTGTTCTGGGTTTTCAGCGGTGGCCGACAGAATTGTTTGGCAGTCGTAATGGATATCATTGCGTATGTTCGTACCAGTATAACTCCTTGTTGTAATGCTGCCACGCGTAGAAGTTCTTGTACACCCGCCATTCAGTTGTTTTGCAAGGCCGCCACAAAGACATCATATTGCAACGCCGTCGCAAATTGCGTAAGTTCGTACCAGTAAAACTCCTTGTTGTAATGCTGCCACGCGTAGAAGTTCTTGTAAACCCGCCATTAAGTCGTTTTGCAAGGCCGCCACAAAGACATCATATTGCAACGCCGTCGCAAACATTGTTCATATTGCAGCGCCGCCGCAACTATAGTTCATTTAGTAAGCCCGCCACAGAGAAATTCGTGTCAGGCCCTCCACAGTTCAATTTGTTTTACTTTTCCGCCTTATCTGCCCAGTTCCCCCTCGTGCTTCCAAGAGTTCCTTTGGCGAATCCTCCTACACCTCCTGCTGCCTGCTGCTGCTCCTCTTCGTGTTTTTTCCTCAGCTTTGTGATGCGCCTGCGCCCACGTACAGAATGGCTTCGGTGGATCAAGACACGGGTCCGTGAACTAATGCTTTCGTGAGTTTCGAAATATACGAGTGAGAGGAGAAAGGAGGAGGAAGAGGAGGAGGAGGAGGAGGGCGAGAGGAACATGCGAAAAAAAGGAAGAGGAGGAAGAAGAGCAGGCAATAAGCAGGAGGATGAGGAGGATCCTCTGGGACGTTCACGATTCGGTTTGGTCGGCTACTTTCGGTCTGCTGCTGCATCGCAGGTAGCTGTCCTCTCGGATGTCTTCTCCTGCCCACCCGGTACAGAACCCTCCAGGACTTGTCCCAGGAGCGCCAATCCCTCTGGTACTCGTGGCACGTGTTGTGGGAGCGCAGAGACCTCGGGGTGCGACAGGGAGAATGGAGGAGGAGGACGAGTAGGAGGAGGAGGCGGAGGAGGAGGAGGACGAGGAGGAGGAGGAGGACCCGACTTGGCCCTCCAAAAACCCCTGGCCCTCGGCCCCCGAGCGATCGAGGAGCCCCCGCGCCTGCGCAGGGCGTCCAGGGCAGGCTTCCCAGCGGCCGCTGGGCTGCCCCGCGCCAGGTCGGAGGGGCGCCTCAGGAGCCGGCCCGGCGGGGAGGCAGGGAGGGAGGGAGGTGGGGAGGAGGAGGAGGGATGTGTGGGAGGAGGGTGGATGGGGTGGAGGAGGAAGAGGACGAGGCGGAGGAGGAGGAGGTGGAGGGAAGGATGTGGAGAGGAGGAGTATGTGGAGGAGGAGGGAGGTGGAGGATGAGGGAGGTGGAGGAGAACCCTGAGTCCGGGCGCTGCCATCTTTTCCAACCGGGCGTGTTCGCCCGGTCTCGGGCAGGACCATCACAGATCGATCGGACCCGAAAAATGTTGCGGGGGATGGGGTCTCAGGCTCCGGTCGTGCTTTCTCACGGTGTTGCATGAACGTCGGTTTTCAGAAGAGGTGGGGGAGGAGGCGGTGGGGGAGGAGGATCCAGCGACGCCCCAGCTGCGAGCGACCTTCGGCGACGACGACGACGTCGGCGACGACGACATCGCAGACCTCGCGTCCAGAGAAAATGCTCAACGGACGGTTTTATGCCAATATCGGCTTCTGCGGGCACTCACCGTATCCCGTGGCCGTGAAAGCATGTTTCAGGATGAAACGCTGGTCTTAAAGGAGGGATCCAGACCTCTGGGGAGCCAGGCTTTGGCAAAAATCACGACGGTGGATGTCTGCAGAGGGGGCGGTGGCAACCACTTCAACCAGCGGCGACGAATTGGCAGGAGCCGACCCGGCGGTGCCTGGGCTGCGCGCGACGGCGGCGGCGGCGGCTTCGACGACGACGGTGGCGACGACAGGCATGTCATCGTCGGTGGCGGCGCGTCCCTGGCCACCTGACGAGGCCCTGGATGCGCCGCCGCCACGTGGACGTGGCCCACGTGGGCCGCGCGGGTGGCGCATCCAGGACCACGTGGACGTGACCCACGTCCACCACCAAGTGGTCAACAATCGAGGCGGCGGCGGCGGCGGCGGCGGCGGCGACGACGACGACGACGACGACGACGTCGGTGACGACCACGACGACGACGACGACAACGACGACGACGACGACGACGGTGGCGACGATCCAGGTTCGATCAAGGTTTCAGCGGTTTGCGCCCTCTGTGGATATCCAGGAAGCTTCTCCTCGTCGCCGCAGCTGGATTCGCTTCGAAATTCTGTTCAGAACGCGACACTCGACAAGTCTGGAAGTTTGTCTTTCAGAGGGAGTGGCGACGGCGGCGGTGATGACTTTTACGACATCGGCGGCGGCGGCGCTGACGAATAATGACGACGACCAGGACGAAGACGGCGGCGACGAGGGATGACGATGACGACGACGACGACGAAGGCCGACGACGATTCTGCAACGTCCTCGCTCCTGGCTTCTTGCTTCTCGCTTCTTGCTTTTCCTCCTCCACCCGAGGCGCGCGTGCGCGGTTGAAGAGAGGGACTAGGATCGCCCCAGGCGAAGCGTTCTCCGTGTGACGACCCTTGCCACGAGAGGAACCAGATTGGATCGAATCTGAGGAGATCATCGTTCGCGGCTGCGTACGACTCCAGACATCCGACGTCCACAACCTCATGTCGCAATTCGACAACGACCTACGCCAAGCACCTCACAAGGCGTTCGCGGCGAAGCGGAACGACCATTATAACGGCATCAGCGACCACGAGGTGCTAGTGGAATTCGTTGGGTTCGTACCGCACAAACGGCCATCGAGATCATACCAAGGACGCCCGAAAAGGGAACCATATTGCCAGAAAAATACGATCACGCCCACTTCCACGAAATCACACCCCCAACCCGCACACGCCTCAAAACAGACGCTTCGCAATTAACCCCGTACCGAAACCCCAAGCCCGCCACGACACCCCGCTGTCCATGTGCCCACTTTCATGGGCATACCCACCAGAATACGAAAAGGTGGCACCCAAACGGCATGGTAGCGTGGATCCAGGAGCTGGACATCGGCCCAGGCATTCTATGCAATCGGAAGCACCAGCTCATCTGCCCACGCCCATGGGTTGTCTACCCAGCTCCCATCGCGAGGCACATGTTCAGCCAACACCGTTACCCTGGCGTCATCACGGAACGACGTCAGCAACTACGCGTCTCGGCGACCAACGACGAGTTCTACTACATCGAGCAAGGGATAACCGTCATGATCCCGCCACTTGCGCCACGAGGCCCGAGACAACCACCACCGCGGAAACCAAGGACGCCATCACCAGCAGCTAGCTCAGTACGCGTCGACATCTCAGCCATGCACGAACAGGTGGCCAAATAAAACCCAAACGATGGTTTCTACAAGAGATCTTAAATGCCATCAAGAATGACGTCACGGGGTTGTGGCGTACAAAGTAATGCCTAGCATGACCAGCCAACCGACCCAAAACATTCGACTGCCACACAGACGAGCACCACCCAGACGGCAGCTCACCCCACCACGGCGGCAGCGAGCCCACCAAAGGAGGGTCACCCGAAGGCATCAGTATTAAGCACTCATCCATGGCAAGGGGTTCCGGCCAAACCCTCACCGCCACGATGCGAGCAGGGGGCCAAGCCAACGGACGCAAACCTTACACCGCATGCCACTCTCACAGCCCAGCCCGCAGACGACAGGCGACTTGGCCCGATGACCAGCCATATCAATTCATCACAGACTGCTCAACAGGTACCAACCAAGCCGGCCCAGAAACCGACCCCCCCCCCCGCGCGGGCAATGTTCGCATTTCCCACAAACCAACCCGCTAAAGAGGGCCACCAGGCCCACATATACGAGGGAGCTCGGACGCCCTTCGCGAAGCCACCGCTCGGCATTAGCTCGGGGGTCACGACGGCCGATCTCCCGCGAGATGCGATCGGCGGGCTCGCCGGCGCCATCAGCAGCGCCCACTGTGACCCGAACGTTCCGCTTTTCAAGGTACATTCTCACAAGATCATCAACGACGGCAGCGGAAACATCAACAACCCACAGGCGCTGTGCGACTGGCCATCGGACCCTTGTCGCTTTCACTGCGTCGAGCACGACGACGTCATGCGCTACTTCCACGAACCCTTGCGCAACAGCTTCGGAGAGCCATCCGCCTACTGCGTCCCTCCCTTCAACATGACGACCAAGCAGATGGTGCAAGTGCGTCTCCTCATCCACCACCTGCGCCGCATCTCCGCGTGCCCAGTGGCTGAGGACAGCGCGGCCCTACCCGCGCTAAAGCCTGGCACGACTGTGACGATCCACAGTTGTGTCGAGCTCGCCCTGCGATGCAACCCAACGGGGGCGCCAGTGCCATGCATTTCCCCCCCCTTCCAGAAGGACATTGCCAAAGAGATGCTCTACTGGATGAGCCCACCGCAGCGGAAAAATAACAGCAGCGGCCCAATGGCCTCCCCAGCGCGACAAGATGGCCGAGATCTTGCCGACCGCGACGCTTCGCGGGCCCCCGTGAACGGCCCATGTCTCCAGGGCACCGCGACAGGCCCAACGAGTCCTAGCAGCGACCCACCAGCGCACAGCCAAGACAGCCACAGCCACCAGCAAGGACCCACTACTATGTCCGCTACCTACACTGGCCTCGACGCGTTGCCGACCGCCGACTTATTCGCGCGAGGACTGGACCTCGCGATGGACAGCAAAGCTTTCAACCATCAGTTGCGGCAGCCCCTGATGGCGCAGCGTGCCTTCCCGATGCCCCCGCTAGAGGGCGCGCCGCCGCCGCGACCGTTGAATGCCCGAGTCATGATAACCGGCCAAAGTAACCCCAGCAGCGAGAGCTACCTTTTCGACGCGAGACACCCAGTGCATTGCCTAATAGCTACGGCCATCCAGGACCAGAGCGAGGACGAGCACCACCCTGGCTTCGACAACGCGGACTTCGCCAGAGCGGGAGCTGACGCCCAGACCAGCACAACCAGCGGCCGCGCGCGATTCGCGCCCGAGGGGGGCGCGATGCAAGTGGGCAACCCCGCGGCGTGCACGCCGTCGGCGCGATCGGTGTCAACGCGGCGCCCACCCTTGCGTCAGCTCTACACTTCTGGTCAGAGCAGCGCCAGCTACCCGCTCTTCCCCGACAACTAAGAGCGAAGAGGCGAGCTGCACCCTCGTGCCGAGACCTGCCACGCAGAGGCCCGCCAGCGCGTCGCACCTTCCCCCCTCGCGTGCCCAGCGGCCGCAGATTGCTGCCTAAATTTGCTCGGGCAGCGCCGCGCGCCGCCGGCTGCCCCGACGCCGACCCCCGACTTCCGCGCCATCCTTGATCCGAACCGCCGGGCTCATTTTTCGACAGCAGCAGCAGCATTCGGCACCACGCCACACTGACTCCCAGACGACGGCAGCACCAGCAGGCGGCGACAGCGGCTACTTCAGGAGGCGCGAAGACAGCAGGTCCATGGTAACATAGGACTTAAAGCTTTGCCGCGGCTTTCTCATCCGCAGTCTATCCGACTCGCCACCTGCGCCTACGGTGGCTTCAGCTACAGCGGGCTCTGCTGTGCAGAGGGTCAACTGTTAGACAGGGCCCCGAACCCGCCGCAGCTTTCTCACCCGCGCATGCTGGTTACCCGACGCATTGCATACACCCCCCATGCGCGGCCGCGTGGGTGGAACGCCACATTTCCCATCTCCAAGATCGGCGGGCAAAGCTCTCTCATGCGCCTCCTTGGCGGTGGCCTTCATCGCCAGCTCAGTGCAGGGGCCTCGGAGGAGACGGCGCGAAGGGCCAACTTTGCGCCTGATCTTGAGGGGGCCCTCGCCCAACCTTCGCTTCTTTCTGGGTCCGCTTCCACCCTGATGCCCCGCCCCCTCCGCCGTTTGCCCACCTAGCCTGCCCCCTCCCAGTCGAGCGGCGGCGGGGCGGGCGCGGGGGATTTACATTTCGGGGGGGCAGGGGCAAGGGGCCTCGCCGCGGGCTGTTCCGGCAATGGCAAGGGCGGCCGCGACGCGCAGACTTTGCCGCAGAGCTCTCACTGGCTTCACCGCCTCGCGCAGATATTGCTGCGCATCTTAGGTGCAGCATTGGCAGTGGTCCGTCTCAGCCTACCTCCACGCAGTCGCCACACCATGTCTACCCAGCTTTGCCCAGCAGGCGCCAGCATGACGCTGGCCGCCCTGGCGGTGGGAAGGGCCACCGCAGCAAGCAGCGTCAAAACCGGCCGTGGCTGAGGCCAGAGCAGCGGCAGCGCGCTGCTCAGCGACCGCAGGCCCCTGCCCCACATGCATAGCAACATCTTTTGGTCGCATCTGTTGGCCACGGCGGTAGCTATCAGCCTACCGCCAGCCTCTACTCACGCCACTTGCACTTGGGGGGGATGCTTAGGGGATTGAGGAAATCTACGCTGCTACCATGGGGTCGCCGCCGCAGGATGGCGCAAACCTGCCCGGTGGGGGTCCCTGGGTAGACCCCCCGCCCCTGGTAACCCCATCGCCTGCCTCGGCAGGCGAGGGCCCCCTGCCTTCGAGTGGGGGTCGCCCCGCTTAGGGCCCCCTAGCGTTGAGGGAAAAGGATTTCAAGCCATCCGTGCGGCCCCAGCTGTGCTCGCCCACCTTTTCCCCACTTCTTGTTCACCGCGGCCTGCTCTAAGCTCAAAGGCCCCTCACTGCCGCCCGCCTTTTGCGCAGCCAGCAGCAACGCACGCCGTCCCCGGAGCCCCGCACAGCCGCGTTACGCGCGGGAGGGGTGCGGGTGGTTTCTTACGCCGTGGGTGGGGGGCTGCGCACTTCTTTCGGGGCCGCCGCCGCAGGACGGCGCCAACCTCCCCCTGCCCGTTGGGGATCCCTGGGTGGCTCCCAGCCGCGCCCGAGGCCCTGCGCCTGTCTCGGCGGGCGAGGGCGACCTGTCTTCGACCGGGGGGCGCCCCCGTGGGATCCCCACATGGGTGAGGGGGGAGGCCCTGCCGTTGTCCCGACTTGGGCGAATGTGGCCCTGGCCACGCCGCTCACCTCTCCGCCACTCTCGCCGCCGCAGCGGCCGCCGCCGTTCGCCTCGCGCCTCGCACCTCCGTGCGACCGTTTCACAACTAACAACCGCTGCGGCTCGTCAGTCACCCCACTCCTCCTTTCCTTGTGGTTATAGTGTGATTACGGTGCCTCCTAATTCCTTTCCTTTCCTGCTGATGCCTCCTCCCCCTCTCTCCTCCTCCCCTCCCCCCAGGGTGCAGGGGGGCCTCGCTACCCCGCCCCTGGTTGGGGTCTGCGGCACCTAGTTCGACCCCCCCCCAGGGTCGACAAGGGGGGGGGGGGCTATGGCTGCGTCAGATTGCCCCTCGAGCCAACACTTTTAAGCTCTAAGGAGGAGGAGGATGAAAAAGGAGGAGGGGGAGGAGGAAGAGCATGAGGAAAAGAGGGTGAGGGGACAAGGAGAAGGATGACGAGGAGGGAAGGGAGGGGGGAGGAGGAGGACGAGGAGGACGAGGAGGAGTAGGCGAGAGATGATGAGGAAGAGGAGGAGGAGGAAGATAATGATGAGGAGGAAGAGGAGGAGAAGGAGGATGATGAGGATGAGGGGGATGAGGGGGATGAGGAGGAGGGGGAATCCCAGACGAATCCGACGAGGACCATGCAACTCCGCTCGGTTTGTTCCCCTTCGCTGGAACGGGGCCATGTCCACCTTGGCCAGTCGTTCACCCTGGATCGGTTTCTGACGGCCCCAGGTCCGACACGGGCTTCTGGACGCCGAGAGTTGTGAAACACAGGGGGGCTCGAACGTCGAGCGCCCGAAAGCCATCCCACGGCGACAGCGGCGACCTCCTCGCCCTGCGATGCAACCCAGCGGGGGCGCCAATGCCATGCATTTCTCCCCCGGGCATTTCCAAAGAGATGCTCTACTGGATGAGCCCACCGCCGCGGCAAAATGACAGCAGCGGCCCAATGGCCTCCCCAGCGCGACAAGACGGCCGAGATCTTGCCGACCGCGACGCATCGCGGGCCCCCGTGAACGGCCCATGTCTCCAGGGCACCGCGACAGGCCCAACGAGTCCTAGCAGCGACCCACCAGCGCACAGCCAAGACAGCCACAGCCACCAGCAAGGACCCACTACTATGTCTGCTACCTACACTGGCCTCGACGCGTTGTCGACCGCCGACTTATTCGCGCGAGGACTGGGCCTCGCGATGGGCAGCAAAGCTTTCAACCATCAGTTGCGGCAGCTCCTGATGGCGCAGCGCGCCTTCCCGGCGCCCCCGCTAGAGGGCGCGCCGCCGCCGCGACCGCTGCATGATGATAACCGGCCAAAGTGACCCCAGCAGCGAGAGCTACCTTTTCGACGCGAGACACCCAGTGCATTGCCCAAAAGCTACGGCCATCCAGGACCAGAGCGAGGACGAGCACCACCCTGGCTTCGACAACGCGGACTTCGCCAGAGCGGGAGCTGACGCCCAGACCAGCACAACCAGCGGCGGCGCGCGATTTGCGTCCGAGGGGGGCGCGATGCAAGTGGACAACCCCGCGGCGTGCACGCCGTCGGCGCGATCGGTGTCAACGCGGCGCCCACCCTTGCGTCAGCTCTACACTTCTTGTCAGAGCAGCGCCAGCTACCCGCTCTTCCCCGACAACTAAGAGCGAAGAGGCGAGCTGCACCCTCGTGCCGAGACCTGCCACGCAGAGGCCCGCCAGCGCGTCGCACCTTCCCCCCTCGCGTGACCAGCGGCCGCAGATTGCTGCCCAAATTTGCTCGGGCAGCGCCGCGCGCCGCCGGCTGCCCCAACGCCGACCCCCGACTTCCGCGCCATCCTTGATCCGAACCGCCGAGCTCGTTTTTTTTCAACAGAAGCAGCAGCTGGACTCCTTCCTCATACAGCATTCGGCACCACGCCACACTGACTGCCAGACGACGGCAGCACCAGCAGACGGCGACAGCGGCTCCTTCAGGAGGCGCGAAGACAGTAGAGACTTAAAACTTTGCCGCGGCTTTCTCATCCGCAGTTTATCCGACTCGCCACCTGCGCCCACGGTGGCTTCAGCTACAGCGGGCTCTGCTGTGCAGAGGGCCAACTGTTAGACAGGGCCCCGAACCCGCCGCAGCTTTCTCACCCGCGCATGCTGGTCACCCGACGCATTGCCCAAACCCCCCATGCGCGGCCACGTGGGTGGAACGCCGCATTTCCCATTTCCAAGATCGGCGGGTAAAGCTTTCTCATGCGCCTCCTTGGCGGTGGCCTTCATCGCCGGCTCAGTGCAGGGGCCTCGGAGGTGACGGCGCGAAGAGCCAACTTTGCGCCTGATCTTGAGGGGGCCCTCGCCCAACCTCCGCTTCTTTCTGGGTCCGCTTCCACCCTGATGCCCCGCCCCCTCCGCCGTTTGCCCACCTAGCCTGCCCCCTCCCAGTCGAGCGGCGGCGGGGCGGGCGCGGGGGATTTACATTTCGGGGGGGCAGGGGCAAGGGGCCTCGCCGCGGGCTGTTCCGGCAATGGCAAGGGCGGCCGCGACGGGCAGACTTTGCCTCAGAGCCCTCATTGGCTTCACCGCCTCGCGCAGATATTTCTGCGCATCCTAGGTGCAGCATTGGCAGTGATCCGTCTCAGCCTACCTCCACGCAGTCGCCACACCATGTCTACCCAGCTTTGCCCAGCAGGCGCCAGCATGACGCTGGCCGCCCTGGCGGTGGGAAGGGCCACCGCAGCAAGCAGCGTCAAAATCGGCCGTGGCTGAGGCCAGAGCAGCGGCAGCGCGCTGCTCAGCGACCGCAGGCCCCTGCCCCACATGCATAGCAACATCTTTGGGTCGCATCTGTTGGCCATGGCGGTAGCTATCAGCCTACCGCCAGCTTCTACTCACGCCACTTGCACTTGGGGGGGATGCTTAGGGGATTGAGGAAATCTACGCTGCTACCATGGGGTCGCCGCCGCAGGATGGCGCAAACCTGCTCGGTGGGGGTCCCTGGGTGGACCCCCCGCCCTTGGTAACCCTTCGCCTGCCTCGGCAGGCGAGGGCCCCCTGGCTTCGAGTGGGGGTCGCCCCGCTTAGGGCCCCCTAGCGGCGAGGGAAGAGGCCCTCAAGCCATCCGTGCGGCCCCAGCTGTGCTCGCCCACCTTTTCCCCACTTCTCGTTCACCGCGGCCTGCTCTAAGCTCAAAGGTCCCTCA